TCCCTCCCCCTCTTCCCCCCCTCCCCTTTCCATCCAGTGGAATGGAGCATGTCTAAAGACTTTTGTCCTTTGGCTGGAGAAATCATCATGGAAAACCTGCAGACCCTGAGATGCACAATCACAGGACTTACAATGGTAAACACCATTAGACTTCCCATTCCCCTACCCCTGATGTTTGTGCTGGGATATTCATAGCAAATGCCTACTTTGGAAGCAACAGCCAACGCCCAGTCCTCTGGCAACAACTGCCACTCGTTAAGCGTGATATGTCTGGTATCCATAATCTGAACCCCACAAAGGAGTGAGCAGACAGCATGAACCACTTTGTAAGCTGCCATGTTCTACAGAGATCAGAAAAAGACTGGCCTCATGCAAGCCTTGAAAGCTGCTGCTTTCTGGATCACAGTCTAATCTTTGGGGAGGGATCAAAGGCTCTATGAGATCCAATTTTGACTCCCTGTCTGATGGTAAAAATAATAGCTTCATCTAACCCTCATCCCCACAGCCTCAGTTGAGATCAGTCATCAATTGGAGTCACACAATTTCCTGAGAGAAACCCTTTTCCCTTGATTAAAAAAAAAAAAAAAAAAAATCTGCCCAAATGTGCTTTCACAGAAAAGAAACTATATATGGTGGCACTACATTTCTCAGTAACCTGAACCAATTTAAACTGTGAATGAAAAACTGGAACAGACTGTGCTTATTTGTTTAACCAATCTAAACTTAAATGTTAATTATTTATAGAACTATAAACCATATAAGTATATGAAATGCAGAAAATAAAAACACCCAACAAATCAGTCCAGACTGGAACAAACCCTATGTTGCCTCAAACAATTAAATGCAACAAAACTGGATCATCAAAATCTTTTTAACTGAAAAAGGTTTTAAGTAAACTTAAATTAAACCTGTACTTTTTTATCCAATTCAAATAATTAATATCTTAGGACCTTCATATGTGAGAGGTAGAAGGAGAATTTTCTTGTTGTTTTTCTAAAAGGTTAGTCAATTAAAACAGTTATCTGTAAAGCATAATCCTGAAGCCCAGAATTAAAAATCTGTGTTAGGTTGCACCTCTTCAAGTTTGAACCAGCTTATTCTCATAGAATTCTTGGTGGTTGGGTCACCGTCACAGAATCTTAACTTTTAGTCTTACTTACACATCTACACCAGGGGCCAAAACCGTGGATTAGCAGAACAAACAAACCCCTGAATGGGTGGCCCCTACAGATGCTATTGTCATCTGATTCCCAACGCGCTATAGCTCACATGATGGAAGAGGGGCAGAGAGAACCCGGGGAATTTCCGCTGCTTAAAAGAAAAAGTGATATGGTGATAAAAATGGAAAACTCTCCACAGACAGGTTCTCTAATATTTGAACTAATTTTTTACAGGGATTAAGTTTTTCCAGTTGGTCATCCAATGAGAGCAACACAGACACTATCCTAATCACATAAAAGCCTAGAAGTAGATTTACACTTCAGAGAATCTCCATATCCTTGAGGTACCTAGAAACCCATTTTTAACGTTATAAAAATCAAGTTTATGATATGGTAGGGCCATTACTATTAAATCCCTAGCAAAGGCTCTACAACGATTGCTATTTTTTTTTAACTTCAAACACCACTTTACAAATTTTGCAAGCAATGCTTTAACAAGTGCTGACTTCTAAAATACCCCTTTGGGTTCATCAGAAAAAAAAAATTCCTCAAAGCAAAAATATAAAAGCATAAAACATGTTAAAATATTATAAGCAAACAAAAACCAACTCCTTAATTCTTTTTGTTTTAATTGAAGTATAGTTTATTTATAATGTTATATTAGTTTCGGGTGTAGAATGTAGTAATCCAGTATTTTTATAGATTATACTCCACTTAAAGTTATTAGAAAATATGGGCTATATTCCCTGTATTATATATTATATCCTTGTATCTTATTTATTTTTTACCTGGTGGTTTGTACCTCTTAATTCTCCTTACTATCTTGCCCCTCCCCTCTGGTCACCACTGGTTTGTTCTCTACATCCTGAGCCTGTTTCTTTTTTGTTACATTCCCTAGTTTGTTTGTTTTATTTTTCAGATTCCACCTATAAGTGATATCATACAGTATTTGTCTTTGTCTGACTTATTTCACTAAGCATAATAACCCTCCAGGCCCACCCATGTTGTTCACTCTTTTTTGTGGCTGAGTAATAATCCATTGTGTGTGTGTGTGTATGTGTGTGTGTGTGTGTGTGTGTGTGTGTGTGTGTGTGTGTGTGTGTATAATCACATCTTCTTTATCCATTCATCTGTTAATGGACACTTAGTTTGCTTCCATACCTTGGTTATTGTAAATTATGCTGCTATGAACATTGGGGTGCATATATCTTTTTGAATTGGTGTTTTGTTTTCTTTGGATAAATACCCAGAAGTGGAATTGCTGGAGCATATGGCAGTTCTATTCTTATGTTTTTGAGGAGCCTCCATACAGCCACAACTCCTTAATTCTTAATGTCATAAAACATTAAAGCATATAAACCATTGTTTTAATAATGGTTTTAAAACTGAAGTAGCATCAAAGAATTAATTTTTAAAATGTCTGAATAACTGAGTAAAGGCTATTTATTGCAGCATTATTTATTTAGCATAAAATGTGGAAACAATCTAAATGTCCACGAATGAGGGATTGGTTAAATAAATGACTGTGTTTACCCAAAGAGAAATACTATACAACTACTAAAAGAATGAAGCAGATCTTTAGTTATTAATCTGAGAAGATGTTCATTACAACTTGCTGATCTTGTAAAGCAAGTTGGTCAGCTAGAAAAAGGTGACAGTAGTTGCCACTGGGGAGGAGGAAATAAGGAAAAAGAGGTAAGGGTGAGAAACTGCAGGTTTTGGTAAACCTTACAGAACTATGACTTAAAAATAATGGTTTGGGGAAGGTCATGAAAAGCAACGATGATATTCCAATTTTGAAAAAAGAAAGCACAAAGAAACTAAGAGGGCACCCCAAATATGTTTATTATCATGTAAAAACATAATAGTCAAGAAAAGCTAGAAAGTTAAAGTGTGGGTAGTGGGATGAACAAGCTCATCCGACACAGAATGAAGCTTCTAGGGTAAAACCGACTAAATAAAATTCCCAACGCATCATTCTCTCTATTTCGATACTTTGCAGGGCCAACGGTATTTTGTTCAAGTCTCGGCTTATAACATGAAAGGATGGGGACCTGCTCAGACCACGACACCAGCATGTGCCTCTCCTTCTAGTAGGTGGTGGCTGTGAACTCTCTCAAGCCTGGCCAGACTCCAACTCCAATTCCATCCTCAGGATGCCATTGCCATTCCCTCTCCCCCCCGCCCCC